TTAGAATTCATCTAAATTGGGAGCTACAATAAATAATTGGAATTCATCTAAATTCCGAGCCACAATGAAAAATTATTATAGAATTCACCTATATTGAGAATTATATATCACAACTAATACAAAAGACTAGAATTCTCCATCATTGGAATCCACATCAAAACCCCCAATTGCTTGGTCCAAACCCAGTTAACACGACTGCCACGAAAAGCTTCAGAGTCCTATGTATCCCTTATTTTTCTGTGACAAAGATAAAAAGGAACGATTACTTCTTTTCTTGATATCTCGACTATTATGTTACACTATTATCTATATATTTACACTATTGAACATTTTCATTCGGCATCGGTTGTCTCAGAAACTATAATTGTTTCCAAGTAATTTGGAAGCACTGGTGACCGGTGACCACCGCAGTGAACGTGTTAATACCTTCTATGAACAGGTCAACAAGAAAAGGAAAAAACTGAAAGAACCGTGGACGCAAAGATGCGTCATCGAGACACTACCGTATACGTGTTCCGGAGCACGACCGGGCGCGCGTGGCACGGTTTAATACGATTTTCGAGTCGTCGTTGCTGGTCCTCGGTTTCAAGTCGTCGTCGTTGTTGGCCCCACTCGATTCCCGTGCAATCTGGTCCGCGCAGCTGTCACCGGCGGTCCGGCATTCCGCAAGCGGAGAGAGAGAGACCTGGGGGAGGCTCTATCCGGGGCCAAGACAGACCTCCTCCAATTTTACGTCCCCCTTGACTCGAGCCATTCGCAATAAGGACACGAGGCCCTTTCTTTCGCTCTCTTCGCCTCCCTTCCCCTCCCACTCATCCGAGGCTCCCTCGAACTCCCTCCGCGTGGTCGCACAAAACAGTCGTCGGAGAGAGATTGCGAATCGCCGTTGCGGTAAAGAGAGCTTGAAAGTTTCCCAGAAGTTGTCGATGTTCGGGAAAGCACGATAGACTACGGGCTCTGAATCCTTTTGTGCGCCGGTATTTTTGCTCTCCCGTTGATGCAAAGAAGATGTAATTTATATCTTTCCGCGGCGGGGGAGCTGCGGCATATTCCGCGACGCCTTTGTAGTCCATCCCTATCCTGATTTTTTTCCTCCGATTCTTCTGCTGTTGCTTCTTCTTCTTGTTCGGTGTTTTTTTTCTTTCTCTCTGACTCTGGACGCTTGTTTTGGATTTTGTTGACAGCAACCTGGATTCCTAAAACTGCCTGCATTGTCCCGAGACTTGGGATCTTGATTCTGGCGGTATGATCCACGAACGTTCGCCGTGATTAAATTAGCTTCCTGGGTGTGCTTGTTTATTGATTTCTTGGATCGTAGGTACTCGTGGAGGTTTCTTGTAAATCCACTTCCTGGATCAGTTTGTCGTTGGTAATTCCTTTGAAAGAGAAACTCTACGCTTGTTTGCGAGGCTTTGTTTCATCTGGATATTGAATGTCGATGAAGGAGATGCTTTGTGCTGACTGCAGGAAAATTGGAAAATTTTCCGTTTGTAATTTGAAAGAAACTTGTTTGATCGAATCCCTTACGAACGGTGGTAGTAAATATTACACACAACCGAATTACATCGAAAAGAATCATATTTCTAGAAGTTAAACAAATTTGAAAAGAAACCCACTTCTAATTCAATTCTAATTTCTTATCTTCGATTGTAATTACCTCAAACCCAATAAATACGTAAATTCAGAAGAGTTACAAAAACCTGACCAATCCAAAGCAATGCTTCAAACCAAATCCCCTAACCCAAAATCCATTCGTAAGGAGAAACATACAGCTGGCCCTCGATTTACGCGGAAATCCGTCCCAAGTGGATTCGTTTCACGCGTACGAAGATCACGTAAATAGAGTCTCTCGATACAGGAAAAAACAAAATATTAGAAAGAAAAGCTGGTATAAGTTATAGAAACACACGTTTATTTGACATAGTCAAACAAGAGAAACAATAATAATGACATTTCAGAGAACAAAAATACATTTTATTCGATGTTATTAACACGTTGAATGGCGTACGATTTCATCGAGCAAGAACATACACAAAAAATACAGAAAATGACAAAAATAGAATATTAAATCGTTTGATTGAAGTATTATTATTATTGCATATTCAACGAAATAGGCTAAATGTCACCGAAATGTGTTCAAATCATCGTTTAATTCGGTGAACTATAGTAATTCATAAAGTTAAGATTACGTATAAAAACTATCGCATAAATAGTGCTCTAATTTACACTGTAAAAAATAAGCTCGCCCACAAGAAAGTCCGTGTAAATCGAGAGTCAGGTGTATCTCCTCGCAAGTCGACCGAATTAACGACACCGATTCCCACGAATCCCGAGTATCGCAAAAATCCCGTGGGCCCACGTCGAAATATTCCGGGCCCGGGGTTCCTCGGACTGCGGCGGCTGCATTTTCCGTCCGAAAATGCCGCCGATATTTTCTCCTCTCTTTTCCGGAGCGGTAATTTTTTTTCTTTTTTCGTCTATTTTACATCGGCTACCACATGGCACAGCCCGGGGTCATCGATTCCGTGGGCAGTCTGCGTGGCAAGTCGGCAGATACGTTCATTTTAACGCAGGAGCCGGCTGTAATCTGTGTACCCGTAATAACTTTTGCGTGGTTAGCAGCTGACCATGCATGGAATTCATTATGCTGAAACAAATATGTAAATCTCCATATATCCCTGCCGCGCCGGTTATACATATATGGCGTCGCGGCGCGGCGCGGCGCGGCGTGGGCTGGGCGCGCGGATATATTTCGTACGGAACGTGTGTGTCCGACCCCCGGAAACAGACAGTGACGGTTTTAAAAAAAACTTATCTGACCACGCCAGTTGCGTCGGACATGTTAATAATGTCAAGGGGTTGAAAATCTAGAGCCACTTTATACTTCTCGTCCATCTGACGGGATGGTGTTTTACGGCGACTTCTTGCCCGCCATTTGTACGCGCGGCCGCGCGTACAAATGGCGGGCCGAACGATTATGTCTTTATTCGTGATTTTTGTCCGCCCGGTACGTGCTTTCTGAATTTTCCGGAGGGTTTTGTTTGGTATTGACAGTAGTGTGTTGCGGAGTAATGAGATCTTTTGGTTAAGGGTAAACGAGTGAGGGTGAAGAGGTTTATTGATTGATTTGATTAATTGAATTATGGAATTGATATTTTTTGGTTCGTTCGTTGTATGACAGTTGTAATGCTGGAGAGTAATTTATTTTAATTATTGAGATAGATTCTGTTATGTGCAATTGATAGGTTTTTACCCTACTTTTGGAAAATATGTTAGTGAATAAGATTCTACTTACGTGAAACTGATTCAATTGACATTTAATGTTTAATACAATTATATATCACTTGAATTTTAAACAAAGGTGAAAATACATGAATTTCAGAAAGAAAAGATTGTTTATAGAAAAATTTTCCAAACAAATTTATTCAATTTCCGCGTGGGATACGCTTAATTTCTTCGAACGACACGAGAAATGCAAGATAACTGCGGATGTACTTCCTTTTAAATAAAACGCCACGTATTGAGTTTCGCCCGGAAGTCCTTTTACTGCATAATATTTTTATAACTTTCATCCGGGCTTAATAAAGTTTATTAAATCCCGGAATAAAATTTACATTGCGAACTTCCCGCCGTGGAAATAAAGAACATCGAAAGACGCGGAATAAAATGAAAATTGGATGAGACCTGCGTTCTTAAAAAATCAAACGCGTTCTGCTTATATTTCGCGTCGACTTCGAATTAAAAGCTACAATATCACGAAACAATATGAAGAAGTTTTCACCGTTGATATCGTTTGAAAGAGTTAGCCCGATTTCAACCGAAAAAGGAGAACATTATATGAAATTATTAAGACAAATTTCCCACGGATCCGTTCGAATCAGAACTTCAAATATCTCTTTGCCTTTGTGCGCGCTGCGTTTTATGAGGCCTCGATAAAAATATTCACCTGTCACTGCGCTGTATCGGAACTGCATCTCTGAATGGCGGTCGATGGAGAATAAACGCCGCTGAGTATACCGGTGAATTGTTTATAAAATTGTTGAATGCATCTTTCACGGAGCAACACTTCTGCCCGCTTGCGTTTGCACGTTCAAAAGCGGTTTTGACGTATGAATTTTTCACGAATTTCAACTGGACGCTTGTATAATTAATTAAGAGGAAGAGCCGCAGTTATTCAGCGGTGAATCAGTGTTTTGTAAATATGTGGCGTTCAGAAGTTGCTTGAAATTATTTTGGGGCTAATATTAGGTCTTCGTACTCGTCATTTGTTGCCGAGAAAATTATGTGAATCGTAAGAAATTTTATATTATATTTATTAACAATAGAAATTTGGTAACTGACATGTTTTATATTAACTTAGGGACGCTAAGAATGTATGATAGGTAGAAATTATATTATAGAAATGTTAATGGAAATATTAATTAGATTATGGAAATAGGAATAGAGATAGAAATGGACATTTTTATAAGAGGAAATTTGAAGACGCTGAAAATGTACAAGAAATCAAAATATAAATGTTAGTAGAAACAGAAACAGAAATTTCTATAAAAAATATGAGAAACTTAAATAAAACAATGTACAAGAAACGTAAGGACCATCAACACATTAAACATTACAAGAAAATAAACGTAACTTCGGTAGGGTGCCATTACACCGATTACCATATTTAAAGATAACCTTCACCGCAGGAAACAGCATTAATTCCCTACACGCCTAACGCGTGTTTCTCGAAACACGCGGTAACACTGGCGTAAAGGGAGCAGAAATCTTTGTTACCTAGTTTCAATAATTGCGATTCACGGTGCCTTCCATCCAGCCGGATGACGGACGCACCCCCTCGAGGTAGCGACTCCCTCATCAAAATTCATGGAAACAATTTTAATTAAAGATTTCTCCCATTATCCGGCCCCGGTATTTCTGTTTCATTCCGCTCCGCGTCAGCCTAGGCGAAGAAAGAACGCCGGCCGTTTCGGGTACGTCACGATCGTTTGTTGTTTCAGGAATATCCATGCACAAAGGCTATGCATTCGTGCAATTCACAAATCCCTTTGATGCCCGGAGCGCCTGCCTCGGCGAAGATGGCCGCACCGTTCTCAGCCAAATACTCGGTAAGTAATTTCTCTTCCCCCGTATACATTAATAACTCACCCCCACCCCTTTCGTGCCGTGTATCCGCACGCTGCTTATTTAAATATTAATTGCCACCCACCCACACCGCGCCCGTCTTCATCCGCCCCTCGTTCGGCAACCTCTTTTACGCGTCGCGCCGATTAATTATTGGTGGGACCGAACGTTTATTTAAACGGCGACGCTAAATACCGCACGGTTTAAAGGATGACTCCGAGTCGCGACCCTTTGATACTCGCGTCCCGCCTCTTCTCAATTTTAATGCCCGACCTCGGTTTATACGTACTTGATCATCTGCCGCTCGTGAACGACATTTCGACGTTGAAAATGGATGCCGGCTACTCGAAAGAATTTTGTGTGGAAGATAGGCGATAGGTGTACGTAATTAAGTTTTCTGCTTTCATTTTTGTATTAATCTTAATTCGGGGAAAAATACGTCGACGCGATTGTTTTAGATATTTATAAATACTGTGATCCTCTGTATTTCAAAAAGTCAACTATATTAGTTATCCACGCTATCTTGATTATATTTAAAGAATATCTCAGAATGAATATCTTATGGAACTAGTTTGAAATTAATATTTCTATTATATTTTTATTTATATATTATGTATAAAATCAGAATCCTCCGAACATTTTCGTTAACTAAATATTCGATAGCTAAATTACACTTTAGCTAATGGTTGCAGCTCGAATCTGCGCGAATCGATCGATTATCGTTCCCCTAATTTCCGCGGAAGTGGCCCAATTATCTTCCCCTTGCGAAAAGTACCGTTATTCGGCATCTTTCACCAGGGGCGTGCGTCAAACGCAAAAAATGAAGTGTCGGGGAATCTGTTCGGTGCCTGGCGCAAGAACGCTTAACGGGAACAACTGCCTCTGGTTTATGAATCGATCGGGAACGACGGAATTCCGAAGTCGAGTGTTCGCGATCGAACGTCTCGGTGATCATTGCTGAAACGATCTCCGTCTAGAGGAAAGTTCGCCGCGTCGTATCGAGGAAGATCGGCGAACGATCCGAGCGGATCCTTAAAATCGAAGCATCATCGACCCCTCGGCATTAGTTTCAAACTTTCCCCCCCGTGTATTTGACTTGAGACAGGGGCACTGTCGTTCGAGAGCGTTTAGCAAATTAGCGAACTCCGCGAAGAATTGTTCTTTCCGCTTCGTTGCGCGCTGGAAATTAGGTCGTTTCGTGAGAATCTTCCTCCGACAAGGGCGAACGGTGTTTTAAAACAATATTTTCAGTGTCTACGACGCCCAGTGATGTTTATTATCGATCTTTCGAAATAATTTGAGACTGAAATATAAGGATTATGATAACCAAATTTCAATTAATCTTGCATTTGTCCAGTTGCTTTATTTTACTCGTTTAAAGATTCATTGCTGATAACTAAAATAACTGAAGGTCGTCGAAATTAGATGTACTCATTATTCAGTGAAATTCACTATTTATTTTCCATTAATACATAAAACAATTTATTTTTGGAGTAACAAAAACCATTACACTGCATTTAGTGTACTTGTCACGTGTACCGAAATTCGACAGCGTAACTTTTAAATCTCGACCTTATTCTGGTATCACAGTAATTTTAAAAGAAACAGATATACCCCTGTTTAATGTTATTTCAAGTCTCGAATTAATGAGGAGTGACACGATCGACATTTCCAAAAATTCCAGCGAGTGTGCAAAATTTAAATGTCTGCAGTCGTTTTCTCCTGCTCAAATTAAATATACAAAGAATTCGAAATTTCGAACATATTATAAATACCATCCTAATGGAAGGGTACCCGATACTTCTCCCAAATTTGACGACTTTCTCTGAACATTATAATTTCTTTGCATTTATTATAATTCTATTCAATTAACATACTGCCCATAACGTTTTATACCAAATCCTAAGAAAAATTAAAATATACTCAACATCCTAACAAATCAGAAGGCACGTAAAGTGATTTACGTACAGTAACCCCATTTCCATTTTGCATAGCCAGTTTTCAAATTCCATCTGTAATAATCACTAATTTCCATTAAAAATCTTATCAGGCATATCGTCTTCTAAAACAGGCAGCTTTGTCATTTATTGGAGTTCACAAAAATTGTTTAAAATAATTTCTTCACACCCATTTAATCATGCAATATCAAATAATCCCGTATATTTACTACAGATACTATTAAGTATACTATTGAAAGTTGCTATTAAAATAGTACATAGTATTACAGCAGTAGTGAATTAGTATTGAAATAGTAGAATTAATAAAAATAGTATTAAAATACTATTAAAATGGTAAATTTAATAAAAATAATATTAAAATACCATTAAAATAGCAGATACTATACTAAAACGTTCGCAACAACTTTATATATACTATTGAAAGATACTATTAAAATAGTGGATATAATTATAACAGTATTAAAATATTATTAAAATAACAGATTTAATACAGATAATATTAAAATACTATTAAAATAGCAGATACTATACCAAAACGTTCGAAACAACTCTATACATACTATTGAAAGATACTTTTAAAATAGTGAATATTATTAGAACAGTATTAAAATAGTATTAAAATAACAGATTTAGTACAGATAATATTAAAATACTATTAAAATAGCAGATACTATACCAAAACGTTCGAAACAACTTTATATATACCATTGAAAAATACTTTTAAAATAGTGGATATTATTAGAACAGTATTAAAATAGTATTAAAATAACAGATTTAGTACAGATAATATTAAGATACTATTAAAATAGCAGATACTATACCAAAACGTTCGAAACAACTTTCTCGCGATATAATTCCATACAAGCGGTGCCGTATCATTCGACTCCAAGCGCGAGTCGGACTTCATTGAAATCAACCCACCCCCGTCCATTGCTTCAAAGGTTAACGTTCCACCCCGAATCACCATCCCCCGATAAACATCCCCCAAAGCGACTCTGAATCGGCTCCCGACGGGCCAGCGTCTTTCAGAGCTCCCGGGGAACACCTCTTCGAAAGAAACTTGTGCATTAATCAGACACAGGGCTTCGGCAAGTTCGGCGCTGGCATTGAAGTCGCGGGCACCGCCGCCGCGGATCGGTGTGCCGGTAATCGTCGCTGAAAACGTGCCCCTTCACCCGCGTTTCTTTTACTCCGACCCCCGATGAAAGTGTTTCCTTCGCCCGAGGAATACAGGAAGGAAAAACGAAAGGAGACGGTGAAAAGGGTAGAGAGAGAAAGGAAAGTGAAAGAGAAGGAAGGAAACTCGGTGGCAGAAAGGAAACATTGAAAGAAGTGGAAACAGAGGTAACAGAAGGAGGAAAAATGAAACGGTGAAAGGGTGAAAAAGGAAAAAATCGACGGAGGCGAACGAAGATAGAAGGAAAAGGTAGAAGAGAGGGATCGTCGAAGAGAAAAGCAGCACAGGGTGAAGACAGAAAGAAATCAAAGGAACAAGAGGTAGAAGAAAATAAATGACTTTGAAACTGCTTGAAAAATAGAACGGAATAGAAGAAAGAGAGGGTGGAAAATTGGAAAGAAAAAGAAACTAAGGAAAGGTGCGAGATAGACAATGAGGAAAGAAACACTGAGGTATTGGGGAAAAGGAAGAGACAAGAGAGAAATCACAGAAATCACTAAAGAAAGAAATTAAATACGAAAACAGAAAATAGCACGAACAAAAGCTCAACAGAGAAAGACAGAAACAGGCTTAATCTGACGTGTATTGAACCTTACAAATACTATTTAGTATACATTTCGACTTCGATTAATGCAATTATACCAATATGTACAATTATCTATTTTTAAACCTCCAACTTCCAAAATCCAAACGAACACGAACTCTCCCAGGAGCAGTAGAATAAACCATACACTAAATGCCCGCAAACCTGGTGTTGAAGACAGGCAAGCGAAGAAGAGGACGTAGTAAAAGATGAAGAACGAAAGGTAGACAAAGCAGCGAACTAAACCAGTGAATAGAGCAAAGAGGTTGAACGAGGTAGAAAGCGACACGGAGTCTCGTAACGATACGACCGGCAAGAATCAACGACAGGCCCCCAATACCACGCCTCCGGGGTAAGAACCACAGCCATCCACACGGCTCCTTTCTTCGTCGCTCCGCCGGCGTCGGCGTCGGCGTCGGGCCAGTTGGCCCGGCACCGACACAGCCGCGCCGTTTCGCTCGCTCGCGCCGCTCGATTCGCTAGAAATCTTTCTTTGGCTAATGCAAGAACTGTGTTCCCACTGTAGCTCGCAGCCGCCTACCTTCCGGCGGGCCATATATACGGCCGTCTATATACATACACACGTTCCCGGCCGGGTTATAGGTAGGGTTTGCAGCCCAGACCCGGGGAGCCAGCCCGGGATACCGTGGGAGACGGTGCATTTACAAGTGCAACTCACCACAGAGAGACCGAGGCCGACCATCCCCCCTGCCATCAGCATCGCTGGCTCGGTCTACGCCGTTCCATCCCTCTGCCATCCCCCTATATAATTCTCACGACTTGTGCACACACGTTCCCGGCGCTTCACGTAGAGGAAACTTCGGCCCCGTGAAAAACACTCGAGTAAAACTGTAGCTTCCTTCTGTCTGACGGCGGATCGCGGATCCGTCCGAAAACCGATCCACCCCCTGCCACGGACGCGGCGGGGCTGGCGAGGCTGGAAACCCTTCCGGCTACCGGGCTAGGCGTTCAGCTGAGCGAACGATGGAATCGGGATCGTTGGTGGATATAATTATCCTCGCCGGGGTCTGTACACAGACCGTCGGGTCCTCCTTTGAACGCGTCCAGAAATTGGATAATAAACGGGTCGGGGGCGGTATCGAACCGTTGCGCCCCAAGGAACTCGGGCTAAAGGAGCTTTTAAACGGATTCTTATTAGAAATGAATTTTACTAACCTTTGAGACGTTCGAGTTCTTTGGGCGCTCGAGATGTTTGGGATCTTCGGAATGTGGGTTTTTTGGGTTTCTTTAGTTGTTAGGTTGATG